CCTGTGCTGCAGTACCTTCCCAGCCGCTCCATGAGGTTGTTCATCGAGTTCAACAAGTCCTTCCTCCAGTTCGTACGGAAGTTCGTCAAAGAGCACTACCAGACCTATGACAAGGTAAGAGCTTGCAGGACACTCACCTGCACCACCTGCATCCACACTCTCTGCCCCTCTCTCTTAGCAACTTGCTCCTCTTCTTGCAGCCAAGCAGCAGTGGACATCCATGTTCTTGCAGCTATTGCTGCATTTCACAAGTCCGGCTCTAGACTCCCTCCCCTGTGGTCTCCCCATGGGTAATCGAGCCGTGCAGTCCTCCTTCTCCTCCACAGCCGTGTGTGGTAGGGCCAGTTTGTTGCTCCAACACCTGATCCGGGCCACAGTGTCCCTGAAGAGCCATTTCCTTGGTTTTACAGGTTTCAAAGGCAGGAGGGAGCATGGGGGCTGAAAGCTGATGTTCTCCAGAGCTCCTCTGAGCCTGGGCTGCCCCGCCATGGGGTGGTTGCCCAGGAACACCCATTCCTCACTGGTTCTGCTGCCATCACGTGTCTTCTCTTCCTCTCAGAACAACATCCGAGACATCACTGACTCCCTCATTGAGCAGTGCCTGGATGAAAAACTGGAAGCAGATCCTGCCACGCAGATCCCTAAGGAGAAGATTGTCAACCTTGTGAACGACCTCTTTGGGGCAGGTACAGTTCCCCACGGCTTCCTTCACTGCCTCAGGTTTTCTCAGGCTCCTCCTGTTATAGCCCTCTCTGTGCCCAACACCAGGCAGCCACGTTGGGTCTAAGCATTCCCTCTCCAGATCACTGGTCTTCCTTAACCCTCTAGGGACACCCCTGGAAAGCATCATGGAGCATCGGCTCTGGAAAGAGGCTTTGGAGGAAAGCAAAGGGCATGGTTTCTAGCTCAGCCAAGCTTCGCAAGCCAGGATGGCTTTTCCTGGTTGAGGGAGATGTCTGTTCACTGATTCATCTTTGAGTTACTTGTGGAAACTCCCTCGCTCCCAGAGAAGTCCCACAAACCTGACATAAGCCGAGGGCGAACCGGGATGAATGAAAGCACGCTGTTTAGGCAAGGTTTTCCCTGAGAGCATAGAACCCGAGTCTTACAGTGTGCCCGGGAAGTCCTCGGCCTCCTCAGCCCTCCCAGCCTGCTCCATGGCATGGTTAGGCAGCAGGGCATGTGCCCTGAGTGTTGTCCAGACCTCATCGACACGCTTTCCTCTTTGAGCAGGCTTTGACACTGTGACCACTGCCCTGTCCTGGAGCCTCATGTACCTCGTGACATATCCCGACATCCAGAAGAGGATCCAGGAAGAACTGGGTGAGTCCATGAACCTCAGGGGCCAAAACCTCCCTGGCCAGGGCTGACCCCAACCTGCTCCTTCCTTTGTCCTCCCACAGAGCAGACCATCGGCCGGGAGCGCAGGCCGAGGCTGTCGGACCGGGGCAAGCTGCCCTACACAGAAGCCTTCATCCTGGAGATGTTCAGGCATTCCTCCTTCATGCCCTTCACCATCCCGCACAGGTAAGGGCTGCTGAGGTTGCAGAGGAGGTGGAGGGACAAGGCGGACTTGAAGCATCTTGTCAGAGGTGCAGCGGGAGGCAGGGAGATCAGTTTTGGCTTGTAGAATGCTCACGGACATGGGGAGCTCACAGCTCTTGTGCGGGGCACCGGGGGAGCTCCCGAAGAGCCATCCTGCTGACTTCCCTGCAGAGGCACCACTCGCCTTAGGTGGGGGTTGTCCAATCTGGCTCATGGACAACGCAACTGTCCCGCATAAAGCCGTCCCTTTGGGCCTCATCCTTACTTCACCAGCATCAGGAGCAACTTAGTCGTCCCCTGAGGATGCAGAAGGACCTTTCCTCTTCCCAGACTCTCAGAGTCTTTTCTCTCTCCAGCACGACCAGGGACACGGCGCTGAACGGTTACTACATCCCAAAGGACCGCTGCGTGTTTATCAACCAGTGGCAAGTAAACCATGACGAGTAAGTACCTCCTGAGGCAGAAAGCCTCCAACAGTGGCACACGGGACCCTTCCTGCACTCTTATCTTCCTGGGCGGAAGTGGGGTCAACCTGCTTTCAAAGGGAGAAGTGGCTACTAAATGGGGGGATATCCCTGCTGACAGCTCCCACCTTCCAGTGTCCCCGTACACTCATGGCCAGGAGACATCGTGTCACCACCTGATGTGTTCCCTTCCAGGAAACTTTGGAAGGATCCACTGACCTTCAAGCCAGAGCGTTTCCTCAATGCTGAGGGCACCGAAGTGAATAAAATGGAAGGGATGAAGGTGCTGATTTTCGGCCTGGGGAAGAGGAATTGCGCTGGGGAGACCATTGGGAGGTGGCAGGTCTTCCTTTTCCTGACCACCTTGCTGCAGCAGCTGGAGTTCAGTGTGTGTGATGGCAAGGAGGTGGACATGACGCAACTCTATGGGCTGACCCTGAAGCACCACCGGTGTGAGCACTTCCAGGTGAAGCAGCGCTTCCCCATCAAGAGCATGGGCTGAGCAGAGAGCTTCTCCATGGCCTGGACATCACCGGGAGGGCCAAGACCTGGCTGTCCTTGGAGCACATCTGGGTCTAGTACAGCTATATGGCATGGTGTAATAAACTGAAGCTGTTGGAACTCCTTGTCTTGTCTTGGCTTGTCTTGTTCACTTCGGAGCATTTCTTGCTGCTTCATTTGTCCAGCATTTCTAGCAGTGGCTATCCCATCACCTCTTGTCTCAGGACCACAAAAGCACATTTATGGGGGGGTGAACAGTCTTTTGCTGGAAGGAAAGGGAACATACCCCAGGCCAAACCCACTGGGCTCTCTTCTTTGGTAGCTGAAGGACAGCCAACCCATGTGTAAGATCTTGGCTGAACTGATGCCCAAAGCTCGGGTGGAGAGGAGGGTGTTCTCATTGACGTCCAGCCAGCACCACTATTTCCGGGCTAGTTTTCACTGGCTGAAATTCACCTTCTGTACATGTGTCTGCAGGGAAAATAAAAACCCTCGGGAAAACACGAACTGCACATCTCCAGGTCCTCCAAGGACAGCCCCTTTCCTGGCTTCTGCACTGGTTTTCGTATCTTTGCTGACCTCTCACACCACTCGAACATCCCGCTCAGGAAAGGTTGATTTGTGGCGTAGAGGAGCTCTCTGGGGATCTCTCAGCCTTGCACCAGGGGCTCTCCAGTAATCTCCAGTTTCCTTTCTTCAGAAGAATGAGAGGGATCCTTCAAAGAAACTGGGCTGGAGCAAAGCCTCTCTGCAGGCACCAGTGCATCGAGGCCTCATGCACCACAGTCCCTGCTGGCCCCGCAGGACAGGAGGAGGGACACCTTTAACCCTTGCTATTGAGAAAGTCAAGCTGCTGCTGCTCTGGAGCCGAGCAAAGGATGTTATCGCAGCGGGGCAGAGGAGAACAGGACTTCCTCCAGCTCCAACCCAAGAGTTTACATTGGCTGCCAGTCAGCCCATGGCAGTAGAGCCAGATGCCTCCTTTGTGCTTCCACTCGCACGCAACCCCGGTACCTGGCAAGCAGTTCCGCAGGAACAAGTGAAACCATCCAGTGCAACACGCGCTGCTCTTGACTCTGTTCCCGTGGGTGGAATCTGCTCCACCAGAGCCCCAGAGCCTGACCAACAGCAGCTCCTTTCAGGCCTGAATACCTGTCGCTCATCGTGCGTTGCGCAAAACCTTCCAAGAAGAGACAGAAAGGAAAGAGCGTGTTGGGGACGAAAAGGGGGAAGCCAATTGCCCAACGCTTGAGGGAGATTCCAGGTCGAGCAGGGAGCTGTTCAGACCCGCTAAACAAGCCTGAGTGAAAAGGAGAAACTCTGTCTTGGTGTGTCCAGGTCCTGCCTGCTCACCAATGTGTGATGAAACCCAGGGGAGATACAGCCTCAGACCCACCTGAACTCATTGAACCAGCCTTCACGGGGCAGCTTCGCTCCACGTCACACTGGCTTTGGATTCACCCCTGAATGGCAGAATCCCAACAGCGCAGGAAAAGCAAGAGACCAGGAGGTCCAAACCAGGGCTTGAGCTCCAGGCTCTCCGAGGCCTTGGAGGAAAAGTGGAAGGATGGTTTAGGTCAACCTATGAGGTCCATCAGGCAAGTGACATCTCCACTACCTCTGACAAGGGCCATGGGTCAAGGCGGGAGAGTCGTGAACCACCTTTCCACAAGAGACATCCCAAAGCTGACATTCGCCTACCACAGGGCAACGGGGGTATCACCCTGGACATGAACCTGGGTGTCTCAGTCCCTAACCTGGTGATTCAAAAGAGCCCTGGGATCGTCAGGGACCAAAGAGCAGCGTGTGACACCATCCCCATGGGGTGGAGAGGCACCGTAGCGTGTCCATATCATCCGTACCAGCCATAGGGGGAACACGCAGCGCTGGTGCTGGTGCTGGTGCAGGACCAGAGGCCCCATCTGCTGCAGCCATTGCGTGACTTTGTGGCTCTATTTGCTGATAAGACCCGCAATGAGTGAGCACAGACACAAAGAAAGACCAGTGAGATTCTTTCTTTTCCCTTTGCAGGTGAGTGGTTTATAGCCCTGGGGCAGATAAGCAGATTAATATTAACGTTCCTGAGGCGAAACAGGCCCTTGATGGTGGAAGGTCTCCCCAGCACCTTTACCAAGGAGCTGATTGCCTCCACTGGGGACACTGCTGCCAGGCTGGTCCCACAAGATCAGAGTCGCAGGAGAAAAAGTCACCCCAGTGTCAGGATGGAGAAGGGAAGAGGCTGGAGGGGAAAGGAACGGACAGGCGATCACCCTTCCCCACCCAGCCCTTCTCTTCATGGTGTTGGAGGCAAAAGAGCCCACTTTATAAAACCCCATCTTCATTTTGCATCTCTCCCTCTCCTTGGTGCCAACGGAGACATCCCCTGCAGCTGCAGGAGACCTTGCTGGGCAGCTTGCACAGGCAGGAGGGCCCCCTGACACCTTGGTCTGACGTACCTGCACTCACACATCTCCTTGGACATCCTGGCTCCTCCAGCAGTGACCCCAGGTGAGGTCCGAGTTTCCTTGCTGGGGATGCTGCAGTCAAACTGTGCCTTTAATCCCAGCCAGCCCAAGCCCAAGCCCTGGCTCTTGGACCCATTGGAAGGTCAAAGCTGAGCAGGCTTCTTCAGCACAGGTTTTCCTTGCTGGGTGTCTCGGCAGCCTCCAGAACAGAGCGAGGAGAGCAGCGACCATCCAACCGGGTACCCCAGCTGCTGCTCTTTGGAGAGGAGCTGCACCCCCAGATCCTCCCATCCTGGGACCTCTGTGAGGACGGGACCAGGACCCCCTGCTCCCTTTGGGGTGCAGGATCCCTGCTCTTCACCACCTCCTCTTCCTCATTTCCTCCCGATAAACAAACCCATTGATGATGGTCAAGAAAGCCGCAGTTGCTCACAGTGGGAAAGGGGCTCCAGCTCCCCTGTCTTTGCTTTTCCCTAACGACCTCCCTCCGTTAAGGCCTCCAATTACTCCAGGGGAGCCTGCGTTTCCTTACTGGAACCAGGGTGATGATAAGCCCGGGGAGCTCTTATCTCTCCACGGCCAACTCTTTTGATTGCCAGTATAACCCGAGCCAGCAGAGCAGCCGTGGCTGCTGGGCTCCAGCTCCTCTTCCAAAGCTCCCTCGTTCCCACAGGAAAGGTCCAAGCAGCCGCACACCTCCCTCAGGCCGAGACACCTTCCTGGGTGCTGGCATCTCCTTGCCAAGAAAGGCCCCAGGCAAGCTCGAAGGACCCCTTGCAGCCCTTCCTCCGCAATGGAAGGAAGAGGGAGCTGCTCCAATGCGCAATGACCCTCCTCATTAAAAGCACATCCTGTATTTCTAACTTCTTTCCTTTGCCTGTTTGGGACATGTCTTATCAGGAATCATCTCCCCACAAGGATTAACTCTTGGGTGTCTCCTTCTTGCTGCTTGTCCCTAACACTGGTGACAGGCCCGTGACATCAAAAATAGCATCGCTTGATGGGCTAGAGCTTAAAATAAAGCTCGGAATCACCCCTTACGCTCTATGTCTGAGCCATGGGTGCTTTCTTTCTGCCACTGGCTTTGGGAGCACCTCCCTCTGAGCTGGTGACAGCAGGTCATCTAAGTGTGGTGGGCTTTGCCCCCACCTCCTGCTTGACCGCTGCACCAGCAGGCTTGGGAGCTCCTTGCCACGGAGAAGGAAACCCCCAAGCACCATCTTTCTCTTTGCAGCTCCACTGGGGCAGTGTGAGGCTCTCCCACGTCTTGAACCCCAGAAGCAGCCACTTTGCACTGGGGATAACGGCTGGTTTCTGCCCTTTTGGGGGTGAAAATCCCTCCTCTGCCCTTTTGGGGGTGAAAATACCTCCTCAGCCCTCAGCTTCTGGGCTGCTGGACCACCTTCCCCTGGTGAAGTTCGCCTCAGCAGAAGGTTGGAGAAGATGCTGGTCCTCTGCTGGACCTCTGCATGGAGGGCAGCTTGAGCCAACAGCGTTGGACACGTAAACCGTGGCTCCGCTCCTATGCTCTGAGGGCTTCCAAATCAGCACGAACGCTTCTTCCTCCTCCCACCCCTCACCTCCCTCTTCCCTCTGGAAAGGAGACAGTGTCTGAGCGGATCGATTGCCCTGGCATCGTTACAGGTACAAGGTACCTGTTAATCAGAGGACACGAAAGCGGGTAAGGATGGAGTTTGTCCCTGGGTTGAGAAGGAAACAACAGAGATGCAGAGATAACCACTCCCTGCATGCAAAGCTCCAGGCTCCTGGAATAGCCTCAGATCTGGCTGTCTCCCACCCCAGCACGGGCATGGCCATCGGTTCACATGGGGGGAAGAACAAGCAGCCCCAGAGACATGTCCCCACAGAGCCAGGACCACCAGGTCCCACAAGCACTCGATGCTCCTTAAGCCCAGCCTTGCAAGCAGGATATGGGCTGGAAAGCTGGGATGTATTCTGGGCTGGCACTCACTTCCATGGCCCCAAAGCTGGCACCGGGTGGCAGGAAAGAAGATCTGGGGGGGGACACTAAGGGATGGGCTTTCATCTCTCCCCATAGACCTGCCGCTAATTGTCCCCATAATGAGGGGTCTGGGCTGAGCACCCCGCTGCTCTCATGCCCCTAAAATCAGCTCCCGCTGCCCCATCAAGGTGGGTGAAGCAGCGGTGGTGCCGGCGGGGGGGTGATGCAGGCAGAACGGGGGGTCTCCAGCTCCCACGCTGGAGGGGGTGTTGTGTTAAAAGGTAAGAGAATTTGGCAGAAAATAAACCCCTCGTGTTCCAGCTGGTCCTCAGATATCAGAGGGGCTGGGTGCGGCTGGGCTCACATTCCGAGTGATGCCCAATTTACCACCATCGGGCCACCACCATCGGGCCAGTCGCATTCAATATATCGAAGGATCACGATTCCGGATGCACTAATAGTGCCCTGCACCTTCAGTCCGCTCGTGCTCACGAACTAACACGGCCACACAGAAGGGTTTGGTCACGTTCAGCCAGGGATGGGCTATCAGCTACTTAAACAGGGCAGTTTATTGGAGCAGCGGATACAGGTTCTTGAGGATTGCCGGTGATACGGACACTGTCGGCAGAAGCACGTGCAAATCAGAAGGCAACAAACGTGGGACAAAGTTCTGAATAACACAG